AAAAAAAAAAAAAAAAAAAAAATCCCTCTTTCTTTAGAAGGTAAAAGAGGTGATTCCTAGAGGTTGTATCCAAAACCAGATTAAATTGGAGGGAGAAAAAACTACTTTTCTTGTCCGTTTTTGTTCCCCCCATCATCCCAATTCTGTTCTCAGGAGGGGAAAGGTTTCATTTTCCCCCAAATTCAGACTTCTCAATCCCTATCCATTACCAATTTACCAACTAAGTCAGACTGTGTAGAATCTTCCTCTGGAAAAAAGGGAAGTGTATGAATTGTGAGTAGTGAGTTGGTTGGACAGTGGTGTGTGAAGTAACCTGATGAAGCTAAGCTTAGAGCTGGCTTCTTCTGTTGCACTGTGGGCAGCATATTGGGGAAAAGAAGGATAACCTTCCTAAACTGCTTGGGTACCCCAACCCTGTGCAATAGATATTAGCAATGCAGCTCACCATACATGGCTGGTAAATACAACTCAAACCTGATGCATGCAAACATTCCACATTATAGTGAAATAAACTGGTGTATTAATGCATTTTAAAAACAATTATGGTATTTTGATACCTTATCAAAGTGTTTGGAATAGTTGTACAGATCTCCCATCTCGTAATACAATGTAATACAGCTAGTCAGATCAACCAAAACCTACTGGTTAAATACTATCCTTTAACTGCTTTCTTAACCTAAACCAATCTTGGAAAGGTTGGATTAGAGGCCAGAAAGTTAGGATTAAAGCGTGATGGATGGATAGATCAGCACAATTTCATCCATGTTGGTGTGCAGGGCCACATCCCGAAAGGGTCATGGGGTGTCCACTATCGCTGTGCTGAGGGGCAGGATCCGAGAGGTAAAGAGACAGGACACAGAATGACTGGAAAAGACAGCTGGGCTGGGGGGCCACGCCACTTACAAGCAGAGACAGGCGAGGCCCCGAACGTCCAGGAGCATCTGTATTTATTGGGTACAAGACAGGGGAAAGGGTAGTGGGTGAAGTCATCTCAAGGACAGTGATAGGGTCAAGAGAATCACGTGTGCGACAAGCAAAGGGTCCACCCCCATTAGGTCACGAAGTCAAGGAGGTGGGCCGTGTGTAGCAAGGGGTCCACCCCCATTGGGTCGCCTAGGCTAGGAGGTGGGTCATGCGCAATGAAAAGTGCAGTGTGCAATATCTCTTATCTAGGAGCAGGCTACTTCTAAAGAATTCTTTAGGAGGATGCTTTTGAGTCACACAGCAGCGACAGAGCTGACAGGATCTACCGCCACCTGCTGGCAGCTTCCAATGATTTCTATAGGAGGATGCTCCGAGCCAGCACAGTCATTGGAGATTTGACAGGTTATACAGCTACCAGGACGTGATTATACCCGAGGGGTTTTAAGCCCTCGGTCGCTCGTGGGATTGCCGGTCTAAGGACAGTCTTCCACAAGAACCGGACGCAAGGTACTGCAACTCCTTTTTCAGGAGGAGAGGCTCTCGCTCCAAGCCTACCATACAGCGGGTATCTTGACAATAGGGAATGTTGCCGCCTGGGCCATAGATTCTTGTCCTGGTATAACTTTTTCCCTTAAATCATGCTCTGCACCGTGTCTGCTCTAGGCATTCCTCCGACTACGAACTAAGATATAATTTTATATATATATGGAAATAACTGAGTAGTAAGACATTCTTCAGGCACTAATTGTTCCCATTATAAACTAATACATGATTGATTATATAAAAGATTATATAGAGGAAATAACTGGGTAGCAACACTATAAACTAAGATATTCTTTAGGCACTAATTGTGCGGGGGATCTGCTTAGCCCTCCTTCCTCGGTGACCAGATGGGGGGTTACCCACACTGGTGGTAAGGCTTTTCGTTATTTATTTATTTATTTGAGACGGAGTGTCGCTCTTGTTGCCCAGGCTGAAGTGCAATGGCGCGATCTTGGCTGACCGCAACCTCCGCCTCCCGGGTTCAAGCGATTCTCCTGCCTCAGCCTTCCGAGTAGCTAGGATTACAGGCATGCGCCACCATTCCCGGCTTTTTTTTTTTTGTTTGTTTGTTTTTTTTTTTTTTTTTTTAGTGGAGATGCGGTTTCTTCATGTTGGTCAGGCTGGTCTCAAACTCCCAACAGGTGGGTGATCCGCCCACCTCGGCCTCCCAAAGTACTGGTATTACAAGCGTGAGCCACCGCGCCCCACTTCGTTATTTCTGAGTTGACGCCTTCCCTTTTAAATTGTTTCCGATTACATAATCCTACTGTCCTTTGTCATGCATATTGGTCAAGAAGATCAATACCAGAGATCTTAAGTGGCAGCTGAAGAGAACTGAAAAGATAAAAACCCTG